AGACTTTGATGCTTAAAATGTTTAGGGAGAAAGTGGAATACTGGTGTGTATTTTTTATTTAAACTACCAAGACCAGCAATATGCAGTCTACATAATGTGTTTATGTTCCTAAATTAATATCGTTTATGACCTTCAGATGCGTTTTGCTCCTCTTTTTTTCTGCTCAGCTACTAAAATTTCCCTTTAGTTGTAAAATTCCATATAAATATTCAATACTAACCAGATTAAAACGTGCACATTAAAATGATTAAATGATTAAATCTTTCCACTACCGACCAAAGCACCACGAGTGCCCCTGTCAGTCATTTTGGCCAGCTGATCACGTACTGTGGTACGGCCCGGATGCGCACGCGTAGTTGCCACAGTACGGGGTTGTACCGCGAACTTTAAATGGCTGCATCTGTAGGTTAAGACATCATTTCAGAAGTGCTGAACTCCGTAATAGAAGATGAATGCCGTAATTATTTGCTGGTATGTAATCCAGGTAACAAATTTGACTGCCCCTCCCATAGAATCACTTATCAGGAAGGCAATATATTACTATTCTTTCCTGCACTAAAGCTGGATTAGGTAGTTCTTGCGCTCTGTTGCTGTATTTAGTTCTGCTTTTCATTCCATCTTGGTTGGATCTTATTGCCCCCATTAAGATATTTGTGTCTTCAGTGGACTGGCAACACTAAGTTATACTTTTACTACAAAAGTTTTAAAACTGGGCTGAATGAGTATCCTACATTGTAATGTAAAAAGTAATTTATATAAAGTAATAAGTAATTTAAATGTGAAAAAGTAATTTATCACGTAAAACTTTAACAAGTTTCCTAGCAAAAACAGGATAAATTTGGCTAGTGACACACTTGAGACAGCTTCATTAATGCCTAGAAGACGGAAGAGACTGATATTCAGTGCTACACAATATAACTTTAATGAAGTGGGCACGTTTCATTTGATTTATCATGATGTTGTTTTCAGTGATGCCAGTATGGTTGTAGAATATTGGAGAGCTTCATATTAACTGCTTGAGCTGTGTTAATAAGAAGGTAATGGGTGCTTATTAAACAAATTCAACCTGTATGTTAAAAGTTTATTAATGTATTATTAGTGATCACTGGAACAATGGTAAAATTCAGCATGTATATTAAAAATATACTATTGTATTATTAATCACTGGAGCTATGGTAGATTTTAATTCACAATTGTATCATTTTATTCACATCTTTGCTACTCTTTTATTTCACCAAAACAGGAAAACAAAACTTAAAACCAATAAATATTTTAAGTTTGTTTTTATTTTTCAAATACTGATTGAGATCATAGACCATGACCTTATCCAGTATTTAAACTACAAAAATAATACAAACAGCAATATAATATTGTATTTGATATTTGTAAGTATAAAACAATTACTAAAAAAAAGCAAACATTCTTAAGAATTATTTGAAAACTTAAGTGTTTTTTTCTAATCTGCTCCAGGTAATCCTTTGTCACAGGATATTCTTAACCTATACCAAGAACCCAATGGAACAAGAAAGCTACTGAATTATATGCTTGATAATCTAGCAGGTATGTATTCATTTCATGTTTAGAATCAAGAGCTGATTTTTTGCATCCTTCATTAAATTATAAATATCTGAATTGAGAAATACCCTACAGTGTTTTTCTTGCTAATTTTTAATATAAAGAAAACTGATTGATTTACTTCGCATGTTGTGAGGTGAATGAGTTTGCTTAACATCTCAATTAAAAAATCAGTACTACAGGAGTGTACATCACTAAACATTGTAAACCGCACAACTAACAATAATATAATAATTACATTTCTAGTTTCAAGGGGTAATCTTTAAATTATATTTATATGCTTCAGAACTTGAATTTTTTGTGTTGAATCTGTCCCTATGTTTGCTGTGAGTTAACATCTTTTTAAAGCCGTGCTATTATTGCTGTGATTGCTGTTATATACTGTTGATGAGGAAAAGGGCCAGACTATGGACAAACCTAACAGTACATCTGAAAATTGTTTAAAATCATTACTCAAAAATTAAAATTGTTAAAAATGTAATGTTAAAAATCTGGTCCATATTTGAAGTAAGAGAAATGCCAGCAATTTGTGAACAGTCAGAAATGTTCCTGAGTTGTCCGAGGTATCCGTGTATCCTATTTTTTCATTAGTTTACCCAGAACAACTTCCTCAAAGGCCGTGGATCACAGTGAAAGAACGAGACCAAATGATCCCAACAGGTAAACAAGTTTTGTTATTTTATTACAAAACAAATGCACAGTGCAGTATACCTCGCCTGGCCAAGGATTATCAATAGGTAGCACTTGTAGTACATTAGATGTTAGTGAAACGATTGCTTCATTTAATCCGTTTTCTTACAGTACTTCTTTAAATCCACTTAATATGACATATTAATTAGGAATTATGTAACTAAAGGGAAGTCTTGGTAGCTAAGAATAAAAATAATTTCTGAACGTCATAAACAATATTAATTGAGGAATATAAATATAGTATACATACTGTATATGGCTGGTAGTGGTAGCTCAAAATTAAAAAAATACACAAGAATATTCCTTCAGTATTACTTCCTTCATACATCAAGGTCTCTGTCACTTACTGTGGTTATTTTAGATTTTTTTTTATGTGCATGTTCCGACTGTAAATTTGCTATACTTTAATAAAACACTATAAAGCTTTAACCTTTTCTGTGAATACTCACTGTCGTCATTGTTGTAAAAAAAGTTTTTTTTAAGTCCACTTAATGTGGAATTATGTAACCAAAGAAATTTGGGTAGCTGAAAATAAAGTGTCTGAATGTCATTGACAATATTTTGGCTGTCGTGATTGTTGCAATGGAAAATGAAAAGCTTGTCCAAACAAACTGAGTGATGATTTGGTTCTGTGGTAGCATTGTTGTCTGAGAGCCAGAAGGTCCTGTGTTTGTTGAAGAACATTACCTGTACATTTAAGAAATAAAAACTCTTCATGTAATATTTAAATAAATGTATATAATATTTTTAAAATCTTTATTAATTATATATCACTATGTATTTGGAGATATGAAAATAATATTAATAGCCTCCCCCCTGCTCCCGCCCCCTCTCCACTCCTGGCTTTTGTTCTTTCATGCTATATCAACTGCTGACTTCCCTTTCTTTCTCACACCCAAAGAAGGCTCCTCAGCCAGAACATTGTGTCTCTTTTCTTCTTTTTACATGGAATAAACCTTTACTTATTCCTTTGCAGCCTACGCATGCTGACGCAGCTACCTACCTGAACTAATATTAAAAACTTCATGAACGTGAATGAACAAAAGTGAATACAGACAATGGCAAGAGTAAAACCCAATTCTACCAGCCGGATCAGACCAACAATCTCCAGTTCTTTAATGCCACCAATTGACAATATTTTCCAAAATATATGTTTTTTTACTTTCTAGAACTGAAGAAGTAATCCTTTTCTCACTATATCCTTTTTAAATAGGCAATTCAAAGAACCTGATGATTTGGTGGGAAAAGTGCTGAAGGTGTGTGCTTATTAACTTGGGAATTTCTAATTCAGTTAAATCTGGCACTATTTGATTGTTGTATTGTACCAAATATGTGGAAAGTTTCTACTACGTCTGTATCTGAAAAAACTTAACGCAAAAGCATTGGGTGACTTTTCAACTGATGGCAGTCACCCCCTTAAGTGCATGAAGAGGGTTATTTTTGAACAATGAAAAACACCGCTAGGATTTGGTGATCAAATTAACTCAATGGTCAAAGGGTGATATCACAGCCTGAAATAGAAGATGGGGGTGGTGGGGCAAGTTCACGGAGCTGTGTGATAGACAAAAATGAAAAAAGAGAGACAGATCATGCTTTAGTATGTTAAATATTAAAATACTAGGGGTTGGGGTGGATGTTTTGCATTGGCATTCAAGCATTTTCTGGATTGGATTGTAGGAGAAAATCCACACGAACACAGGGAGAACATACAAACTCTACACAGAGAGTACCCCTGGAAATGAACCATTTCCACTGAACTACTTTCAATGGGACAAATGCAACACTGACAAATGAGAATTATTTGGTTCTCCTGCGCCTTTATAGCATGGCTAAGTGACATCTCCCTCTCCCCCAGCCCCCCCCCCAAAATCGGAAATGGAAACGGCACAAATCAGCACAAAAAGAGCACTAATAATTGTTAGTTTAGAAACTAAACTTAATGACAACAATGTATACCGTAATTTCATGTATTATTTTGGCACTGTATTAAGCAGTACAACATTGGTTATAACAGTTATATATTGAGATGAAAGCAGCACAAACACTGTAAGATTGTATAGTTAAAGGTACAGTCAGATACAGTCAATTTCCTTCACAGCGTGTATTGTAGAATGTAAAATGTCGGCAATGTGAATCGAATACTTGAACAAAGACTACAGTTTCCTACCTGCCACGCACACAAATCACATGAAGTTATCCACAAATAACCATTCATTACCAAACACGTAAATAAGCTGCAGTATGATCTAATTGGTATATAAATATACAGTATATGCCATATACATTGCTTTCAGAAAGTATTCAGACCCCTCCACTTTTTCCAAACTTTGTGTTGTGGACTTATTTTAAAATGGATGAATTAATTCTTTTTTGCCATCAATTGACACACAATACCACATAATGACAATGTGAAAACACGTTTTTAGGAATTTTTGCAAATTTATAAAAAATTAAAAACTGAGATCTCCCATTTACATAAGTATTCAGACCCTTTATTCAGTACTTTGTAGGACTACCTTTAGCAGCGATTACAGCTGTGAGCCTTCTTGGGTATGCTTTTACCAGTTTTGCACACCTTGTTTTGGGCAGTTTCTCCCATTCTTTCCTGCAGATTCCCTCAGACTCTGTCAGATTGGATGGAGAGCGTTGGTGAACTGGAATCTTCAGGTTTCTCCACAGATCTTGTGTGGAGTTCAAGTCCGGTCTTTGGCTGGGTCAAGAACATTCAGAGACTTGTTCCGAAGCCACTCCAGCACTGTCTTGGCTGTGTGTTTCAGATTGTTGTCATGCTGAAAGGTGAATCTTCGCCTTAGTCCAAGGTTGTGCGGGCTCTGGAGCAGGTTTTCTTCAAGAACCTCTCTGTATTTGGCTCTGTTCATCTTTCCCTCAATCCTGACCAGTTTTACCAGTCCCTGCCACTGTGAAGTATCCCCACATCATGATGCTGCCACTACCATGCTTTGCCATAGGGATGGTATTAGCCAGATGATGAGCGGTACCTTGTTTTTGCCAGATATGGAGTTCAGTTTTTGTCTCATTAGACCAGAGAATTTTTTTCCTCATGCTCTCATAGTCCTTTAGGTGCCAGTTGGCAAACTCTATGTGTGCTGTCATATGCCTTTTACTCAGGAGTGGCTTTCGTCTAGCCTTTCTACCATAGAGACCTGAGTTATGGAGTGATGCAGAGATGGTTGTCCTTCCGGGAGATTCTTCCATCTTTACACTGGAACTCTGAGGCTCTGTTAGTGTGGCTATTGGGTTCTCGGTCATCTCCCCGAACAATAGCTTTCTTGCCCAAATACCCAATTTGGCTGGACGGCCAGCTCTAGGAAGAGTCTTGGTCATTCCATACTTCTTCCATTTGACAATGATGGATGCCACTGTGCTCCTGGGTACCTTCAATGCTTTGCCAATTTTATTTATACCATTTTCCAGATTGACAGATTGACACAGTCCTATCTCAGAGGTCTGCAGAGAGTTCCTTGGACTTCAGGGCTTGGTTTTTACTCTCCCATGCACTGTGAACTATGAAGCTCAATTTGGAGTGTCACCATAAAGGGTAAAAAAAAGTTCAGGTTTATTGTCGTTATACTCGTATACAGGTATATGGTATAACGAAATGCTATTTAGCTAGCTCTCAGATGATAAGAAGTACAAAAAAACAACAATACAATTGTATAATAAAAGAAAGAGACAAGAGGCAGTGTGCAAAACAACAAAAGGTAACAGGTAATGTGCAAAACAACATCAGATGTGCAAAAACATGCATCAACAGAATGAAATAAAAGGATAGAAATAATGGGGAGTGAGCTTTTTGACATGTAAGGTAGAGGTAGATTTCAATGTGTATTTGAGTTTTTGGTAAGAAAGAAGGCACTATGAGGTTCAGATCATAGGTGAGAGGTGAGGTGAGAGAGGCTGGGAGTTTGCTAGTTTGCTAGTGCGGGGGTAAAAACTGTCTCCGAGTCTGGTAGTCTGGGCCCGAATGCTCCGGTACCGTTTTCCAGATGGTAGAGGGTCATACAGTCTGTAGCTGGGGTGTGTGGGGTCTTTGATGGCGCTTAGAGCTTTCCTCAAGCACCGTCTGTCATAAATGTCCTGTATACAGTGGTGTGAAAAAGTGTTTGCCCCCTTCCTGATTTCTTATTTTTTTGCATGTTTGTCACACTGAAATGTTTCAGATCATCAAACAAATTGAAATATTAGACAAAGATAACACATGTAAACACAAAATGAAGTTTTTAAATGAAGGTTTTTATTATTAAGGGAAAAAAAAATCCAAACCTACATGGCCCTGTGTGAAAAAGTGATTGCCCCCTAAACCTAATAACTGGTTTGGCCACCCTTAGCAGCAACAACTGCAATCAAGCGTTTGCGATAACTGGCAATGAGTCTTTTACAGCGCTGTGGAGGAATTTTGGCCCACTCATCTTTGCAGAATTGTTGTAATTCAGCCACATTGGAGGGTTTTCGAGCCTTAATCGCTTTTTTAAGGTCATGCCACAACATCTCAATCGGATTCAGGTCAGGACTTTGACTAGGCCACTCCAAAGTCTTCATTTTGTTTTTCTTAAGCCATTCAGAGGTGGACTTGCTGGTGTGTTTTGGATCATTGTCCTGCTGCAGAACCCAAGTGCGCTTCAGCTTGAGGTCACGAACAGATGGCCGGACATTCTCCTTCAGGATTTTTTGGTAGACAGCAGAATTCATTGTTTCATTTACCACAGCAAGTCTTCCAGGTCCTGAAGCAGCAAAACAGCCCCAGACCATCACACTACCACCACCATATTTTACTGTTGGTATGATGTTCCTTTTCTGAAATGCTGTGTTACTTTTATGCCAGATGTAATGGGACACACCCCTTCCAAAAAGTTCAACTTTTGTCTCGTCAGTCCACAGAGTATTTTCCCAAAAGTCTTGGGGATCATCAAGATGTTTTCTGGCAAAACTGAGATGAGCCTTTATGTTCT